CAGTGATCCCAAATAGTGAGACAAGACTGAGAACATAGTGAGAGGAACAATCCGAAGATACCGATGAAGCAACGAGCAAATCACCGGCATCCAATGAAGCAATGCAGCAATTTCTCTTATGTGCGTTGTGTGCAGTGTGTTTTCCACTTTCCTCCACTATGTTTTTCACCAGTTTCACTAAATTCATTACATTACTAACTCACTGGTTTTCCTTGTTTCCACTATTTTTTGAATTCAGGTTTTCTACTTATTTGGCTGTTTTTTTCACTCGTTTTCAACCAGTTGCCTACGTCGTATTGCCTGACGCGAGAACAGGCCTCCACCTTGGCCCGTTCCTCCTTCAACTTGGCCTGGCTCACATCCACGGCAGGATCGGGACGACGCTTTCTGGGAGTAACTGCCTCTTCTTCTAGGCATCTCTCTTCCAGAATGAGCATGGTCTCCACCTGGGACTGACAGATCGGGCTGCACACGTGTGATGAGATCTGGGGTTGCCAAGCTTGGAGCACTTTCCTGATATTTGACTTCTATCCGCTTCACATCCTCCAACAGAAGAGCTGTCGTGCAAATCACGGGTGTCAAAAAACTCCAAAAGACACATCTGACACGTTGCCTGCTGCAGCTGCCCGATGTCCCGGTCCAGCACCACGATTCTCCTCTCCTGAGAAAAATCAAGTGTACAGCCACTTATCCAAAAACAGGTCTTCATGCGACACACGACTGGCTATGCTCCGCGGCGGAAATATGACCGAAATTTACGCCAAGCGACGGCAATGTTCTTTTTCCGGTGGACGTCTCCTTCGTTCTCCTCCCCACTCAGCATGCTGAAACTAAAACCGGAACCAGTCATGTGCTGCCAAAAGGCCTCCAGTTCCTGCACGCGTGCTTTGAGCTTCTTCGCCTCAAGGCAAATGCGAGTGCAAATGGAGAAGACACGGGAGCGATATCGCGGAGGTCCGCTGCAAAGGTGTGAGTTTTGTCAAAGGCGCCAAGAAACGACATGCAAAGCAAAGTAACTGACCAACACAGCACAGTATTTCCCGCAGCATGCATCTTGAGAGCTCAAGGCCTGCGGAACAATTCTGGTCATGAGGCTTGCCCTGCCAGTACATCAACCGGACAGGGTCTCGCAGCCCCACGGGTCTTCATCAATGGGACGGGACTGAGACGGTGTGACAGCGCTGCGATGCCATCGAGGGCCTGCAGGAGGCCCCAGAAGCAGCAGCCCCAGGCACTTTTACGAACTCCATCACCTCTCGGCACTGCCCCTCCCATAGGCTCCTGCACGGGGGAAGTTCCGCCTCCTCGACGCGGTCTGTTGATCAACTTTGTTCTTCCGGCGTAGCTCGTCCTACTTGTGCCCGGCAGGTGTTGATCGGATAGCTTGTAATGCTCACCCACAGTTACCTTCCATTCAACGACGACCAATCCAGGCTCTGACCATCCACGGAAGTTCGTGGTTTCGCGCCGAACGTACAAACCGCATGTTGGAAGGGTTGATGTCCGCAGTGCATGCGTTGACTCGTCTTGCTCGCGATATCGCTGCTTGGTCCTGTTGCTCCATCCATGCTCTCCGAGGCCGTTTGTCGAACGCCCAATGTGCGCTTCGTAGTGGCTCATGCACTCGCCGTGTTGCCGACCACATCGGACAGCATGGACATCGGCACTCCGAGAAGTCCCGGAAGACTGTTTGGAGCGGCGAGAGACCATTCCGATCAAAGTACTACCTTTCCTCGATTCCAATGTGTCTCCACGATGGCAATCTTCATCTCGTGACCGTCCATCGGTGCCTCGTCCGCCACCGTGGCCAAGTTCTCCTTGAAGACACAGCGGCCATTTTTAGCGCACCGTCGTGTCCCACCCGGGTACTCATCAGTCAGGCATCCTAGCCAAACACATCCGATCAAGCGCGGCAACGTATCGCTGCCCGGCATTCTGCGATTGCTTTCCATCCACTGGTATAGCCCCCAGCAAAGCACATTCAGGAGCACCAATCCAACCACTTCGCTATTGCCCAACCAACCCCGCCGAGATGTGCCTTGCGATGCGACGGTGCCGCACAGGCATCTTGATCAACAAAATAAATCACAAAACTCGCGACTCACCTTCTCAACACGCCGCTCTGGAGTCACGATAAACATCGCAAGCCTGGGGACCTCCACGTTGTCGCTGGTAATCAGCCCACAGATTGAGAGGCTCCGTGGCCACCAAGCTGGAAGGCAGCTCCGCTCTACCAACTGAAGCAAAGTAGCTTGAAGGCACAGCACAACTGTTTTGCGCAACGCGCTCTTGAGAGCTCAAAGCCTGCGGAGCAGGTCGGGTCATGAAGCTTGCTCGGCCCACAAACCGAAGACGGTTTGTCACATTTGATCTTTCATGCAAAAACTGACAGCGTAAGAGGCAGACGATTTCGGTGTTCTCGTGAACCTTTTTCCTTTCCTCTGCAAGGGCCTCGGAACGAGAACGGGGCATGAGGATGGGACACAAAGATGCCAACCAACTAAGACTTTGCAAGTGCATTGGGAGCGGCCTAGAGACAGCTTCCGAGGGATCGAGGGTGCTCTGACTGAGCAAGCTGCCACGACGGCCATTCTGGCAGTGTTCTCAAGCCCGTTCTGAGCATCCTCGAGTTCCTTCCATGCTCGTCACAACTTTTTCAGAAATGGCTTGCTTTGCTTCACTCGCGCACTTTTCGTACCTCGCACTTTGATCTAGCGTCCTGGTCTTTGCGCCTGGTTGTCACCAGATCCTCAAACAGCTGGGCAAATGTGTCCTGCACGAAGCATTTTAACTTCGCGAACAGCTTGTCCATCTGGAATGCTAGTACGGAACGGAACTGCGCTCCAGCGACTTGCTTTGGGGCTTTTTTCGGATGATATGAACTGCCCACCCATCGAGTGTGTTGGTGACAGACAAACACAAACTTCCGGCTTCTCCAGACAGGCCTCTGACTCCTTCAGCATCTCCTGCGCCAAATCGCGGCATGTTGCACAACTCCTACATCCATGAAGTCATTGCACAAACAGAGCCCAGTCATGCCTTCACAATTCTGAGCTCTTTCTGCAAGCCTTGACTTTCCGACGGGGAGGAGGGAGGGAGAGAGCGAGAGAGAGAGAGAGAGAGAGAGAGAGAGAGAGAGAGAGAGAAAGAGACAGACAGACAGACAGACAGACAGAGAGAGAGAGAGAGGGAGTGAGACTGAGCTGCGATGAGTTGCGATATCTGCGAGGCTTTGCCCGGGGCCCCCACGTCTGATCGTCATACGTTCGTTGAAGAGTTCGGACTGCGCAGCCTCGCAGCGTGTTCGCACTGTTGCATGTGTTGAAACTGCAACACTGAAGCCAGATGCGGCCTTCGCGAGCTTCCTCTCTGGGTTTCCGAACCTCAACAGGATTTGCAGCAACAGCGCAGAGCCCCTGGTGTCGAGGGCGCGGCTTAGCCTCCCTCTCTTTTGCCAAGGCTTGAGCCTCCTAAGACACGACATGCCCTTTCCACACAGCTGGAGCGGTTCAGCACCCGAAGTGTGGTACCCAGGACCAGTGCTACTTGTGTGCGCCTCCAAGATTTCCACTTGCCTTCTCAGCTTGTCTGCCTCGGCACTTGCCCTCTCGAAATCGCTTGGCTCTCTTCGAACTTGTCTACTGCCGTGCCTCTGCTTCTGCCCGATACTGCTGGCTTTTCGCAGAGCTGCACCTGGGCTTTGCAACTCATGGAATTCCAAAGGTTTCAACCACAGTAACTCAACCTTCGGGACATCGCCGAAGATGAGTGCTGGGCTCTGCATGGAATCTTCGCACCTTTCACGGATCAGCTCACAGAGTCCTTGATAGAATTTGATGCCCCAGAGCGCATTCTTGATCTTGGAATCTGGCCACGGCTCTAAGTAAGAGTTCCGGATCGTCAATGTCATCCGGCAGAAGGTCTTCTCTCCTGACTATCCGACCCTTTCATGGTGAGTCCCCCAGATCTGCCCCCAGGCTGAGCAGCTAACCCCCCAGAGAACTTTTTCACATTGTACCGGACGATGTCAGCGCTGAGTGCCGGAGGTAACTCAGCCGATGTCCGAACTCTCTTGCCGAATTACTGGACTACCCAAGTGATTACCCCTTCTCCTGGAGATGTGGTGAGAATGAACGTGTCAAGTCACCTTCAATGCCCATCACATAGCACTTGGGTGCAGACATCTTCCAGCAAAATGTCCGCTTCCGATTTTGAAGGCATCGCTGATCCTGCACAAAGACCGGCTGCGGAAATGCATTCGGAAACAAGGACGACCAACTCAGAGAAACACCGACATTCAAGAGAACAATGATGCAAAACAGGCGAGACAAAGTCGACTAAACCACACCGCCAACTCGAACTCTAAAACCCTTGACCCGAAAGCCTTCAACCCTCGCTTCGAAAAGGTCTATACCCGGAACCCCATGCTCTGAACCCGACAAACCCTCGAGCCTGAATCCTAAACCCACATGAAGAAGAACACCTGTTTCTGAATCTGTCCTTCCGTTTCCGAATCTGCCGGATGGTTGTCCGAATGAGCCTACCTGTTTGTGAATGTGCTTTCCTGGGTTGTCCAGGTTGCTTCCAGAACCACGCTACTCCGTCGGCTGAGGTGTCCTTCTGGTGGCTCATCTTGAATCCATGACCGTGCAGGAACAGTCGGGACCCTCACTGCCAGTCAACCTGCCTGTGTAATGTAACGGAACACACGGCAAAATCGTTCACGAGCATTGACAATTTTCCTGAGTAGGAGGAGGGTAAACGGGGTGGTGCGAGTGTTGACGATTATGGTGGATAGTGGTGAGATCATGCCTTTCTGGCTTAATGCCCGGTCGAGTTCGAAGTCCTTTACATATCTTCACACTTTACCTGGTGCGCTACGTCTGTGAAACGGTTCTGTGAGCCGCAGATCGCCGAAGCGCCAAGATGCGTCGGGGGTTCGCTGAGACTGAACAATGCGGCCGCTCGGTGGGCCCCTGTGGAAACGCAGGGGGCCCTGCGCTGTCACGGCTGGGAGCTCCAGGGCCACTTGCAACCATGCGGAAGTCGTCGCGCTCCTGGTAAGCCTGACGTTGTGACTGCAGGGATCTGCGGACATGTAGCATTCAGGCTTTTGCTTTTCAGCCTTGAAAGAATTTCCGACTAGAACGATGTCCGCCAAAGCATCGGGCCAAGGCCAAGCCTGAGGCGGAGGACAGAAGAGGACAAAAGACTCTGTGCCGAGCCGCGAGAGCTGCCCTTGTCGGCCTCGTTCTCGGCAAGGACCATCTGAGGACATCCACTGATGCCCGAGCGTGTCGCGGCATGTCGCGGCCGCGCGGCCCGCGACGCGGGCGACGCGGGCGACCCGCAGACCGGCCTCGTAGAGGGCCCTGTCGCAATGCGGCATGAAGAGCAGCAGCGGCCTTCATGGACACCATCGTCTACCCGTTCTGATCTGCTGAAGACGGAGCCTCCCGCAGGGCCGGCTGGCAGAATCCTGCTCGCTGACTGCTCGCTGTGTTTCTTTGCTTGTCCAAAGTTTCAAGCTTTGAAACGGCCTCGGCCTCGGCCAGTGCAAAGCCGAACTCGGTCCCCAAGGCGCAGTCCACCGCCTGCCTCGTGACGGAACCGCTTGGGATCCAGTGCTCACAGCTGCCTCTGGGCATATCTGGGGATCTGACATCTGTGGGTCCTCCCATGGCAGCTTCAGCTTGCAGGCAGCACTGTGATGGCCGAGTGGCCGAGCGAGTGGCCGAGGTCCAGGCAGCCCAGTGTCGCTCTTGGATGCCGAAGACCTCTGCCAGAAGCCAGGCCAAGCTGAGCTGCCAGGCCTCGCCGTCATTCTTTGCTTTGTGAACAAGGAGCCGACCGTCTTCGGACCCTGACCGCTGATTGTGAGGACTCCGGGGAGCCAATTCCCAGGCAGAGTAGCCTGCTAGAATCCGCCGCAATTGAACATTGCAACTCACTGCAACACATTCTGCAACGACCAGCACCTGACTGCAGGGGCTGATGTTTCGCTGCCTGCGCTTCTACCGCACCCTGTGGTATGCACACAATCCAACACACTCTGCAAATACGGCGCCTGCAGCAAGCGAATTTGATGGCGTTGCCTGTGTGGCCACACTGTCCACACAGCAAGCACGAGCCCGAGCAGCCCGAGCAGCCCGAGCAGCCCGAGCACTGCCTGAAGACCTTCCTGCACGGCTCCAAGGACCGACGTCCAGTAGCTGGAGCACTTTAGCGACCTCAGACTGCAGCGGTATCTGATGTCAAACGCCTACCATGCAACGACTCGCCCTGAATCTGAGCATCCAGACTGCGCTTGCTGTCGGACACAGGTAGCAAGCCCTTGGCAATAGCAACTCCTGAAGAACTTTGCTCGAACAGTCTCTGGCCGGGAGCGTAGCGCTTGACCAGATCGGGATCAGCAGGGCCACTCCGCTGCACCTGTTCTCGACTCTGGTCCCAGCTGGCTCGCAAACTTCATCAGATGCAACTTGGGCCTGTTGAGGCAACTCATGAGGACGGCAACCTGGTGTGCTACCAGACCTGCTTGAAACATCATATGTTGAGATTGGTACCCGGAGTGTGACGGAGTCGACCTTTCCGTGACTTCGCGACCTCCACGAGATGCTGCCCTCATGCGATGCCCAATCTATACGAAGCAGAGCCTGCCACTCCCCAGCTGTGTCAGATGCCATCTATCTCGGATTCGCACAGCATGAGACCCGCTGTCGTATAAATGCATCCACCAGAGCCGTAAGCGTGCGGTTCTTGTGAGTGTGCCCTGCAGCATCCTTGACAACACGTTGAGCTCTGTCCGTGATACAAACGCACCAGAAAGCAACAAAGCACGGACCTGTTTGACAAACAAAAGCTACCTAGCCGTCTTGAGCCGTCTTGAAGAGCCGAGCACGACTGGAAAACATGCAGCTCGATACTGTGAGGTCAGCATGTCAGATCTTCAGCTTTTCCGTCGGAGAGGTCTGCTTCTTCAAAGCGATCACTTGCCGTAAGCTACTCCTGGCCACTAAACGGCCCTTGGCTGGGCCGTGAACCGAGTGAGATTTCTTCTAGGTCTCTCTCCTCCTGCGCTGTGTCGGGTACGAGGTCCGGCAGCGGGTTCGGGGTTCCCTCCGGCACCTCGGTTCCCTCCGACAGGGCTTGGAGAGCCGTCAGCTCCAGCTCCGACCTGCCAAGCGTTCGGAGCAAACCCGCCTTGGGCGACTCTGAGGCGACTCTGAGGCCGCCACAGGTGTGCAGGCCTCGGCCGGGAGCGCTCCGGCGGTGTCTTGGGCGGGCCAGGCGCCTGGAAAGTGCTGCTGCTTCTCTTGATACTTATAGCAATAGGAAGCTTTCGAAGCCCAGATGCGATGTCTCCCGGAGACATTTGCCTCTGATTCTCTTCAAGCTCCCCTGGGCACGCGCTCAGAACGACGGAGCCGCACCAACTGTAATGCTGCGACAGCTACAAAATGAAGTATCTTGATATAAAACGTTCAATGGAAGCCTGGCGTCTGGGCGCAGCAGGACTTCCGACACTGTACGACATAGACTTGACCACATCTATGGTACTTGATGTTGATCGTGAGGGTAGTGGCAGCGAGATTCCTCGCGCCACATCTGGCTGAGGATCCGTGTGAAAGCGATCTCGCACCTCCTTTTCGTCTACCGGCTCCAGTGCCATTGAAGCGATTTCCCCAAGAGTCCGCCCGGTCAGATGGGCACTCTCCGGGATTGTTTCGCGAGCCGGGCTCCCTGTCGAAGAGGAAGGCGATGCATCGCTGCGGCTTTGGACAATGCCCAACCCTGCCTCACGTCTTTGGCGTGACAGTCGGTCACTAGGTGTGCACGGTACGGCAAACTCTTCTTGCTCAGCAATGGCACCACACAGGGCATCCTCGCCATCGAAAATACCGAAGAAATCATCATTGCGGTGAACCACCCCGATACCACATGGCGAGTCGCAAGCATCAGCAATGTGGGCAAGCGCATCCGCGGCTGTCTCGTGAGCCTCTATACGAGCTGGCCGCTGCTTGCGCTTGCAGAGCGAGCCAATCGGCGTGCAGGATTGGGTCGCCAAGAGCTCGGAAGTTCGCAGAATCCCCACGATTTCCTCCCAAGTCACCTCTACCGGCCATTCAACATGATCAATGTTCGGAAAAACCACGACGAAGTCCTGGGAGCGGCATCTGTTGAGATATTGAATATTGGCAATCGAATGCTACTCGGCGCGCAGCCAAGGTCCTTGTTTGAAGATACTGCATCAGCAGCCACAGAAATTGCAGGACTGTAGAAGTCAGCTGGCATCACTCTCCTGCACCAGAAACGTGGGGAAACCGGTTCTGAACATATGCGCTGCGCGGCTCCCGGCTCTCCTTGCACATCGCTTCAAGGTGTAGAAGGCCGGACTATCGGCGACCTTGGCATTTCCAGGCGCAAGCTTCCGTCATGAGGTCGGCCGAGGACCAGGCCAAAGTATCTCCAAGCATGAGCACCGCCATGCATAAGTCAACCTGAACTGACAGCAGCTCCTCAGACATTGCAAAACACAAACTAAACGGCAATGCCCTGCACGCCTCCAAGTCGTTCAGAACACTCGGTGGCTGCGGTGGGTCCTGCGCCAACCCTTTGCGGCCCTTGATTTGCTCCAGTCTACAGACCCGGCCTCCGAGGGCAGCAGCTGATTTTCGGCCGCGCTCCTCGATCCGCTGAGGCAACTTTGACCTCCGACGCAAAGGAAAGCACAGTTGGGCTGTTGAGCACTCGGCTGGCCTCCTGGGCTGCCCTCCGCACTGCCTTGCAAGAGCGGGGCCGATGTGATGTTTGTTTTCCGATGTTTGCTGTCGTTTTCCGGGCCTTCCCGCTCACGATAAGCTTCTCGTGCAGCTTGGTGCCCGCTTGGCGAATGCAAGCCTGCCACCCGTCTCGCTAAACCGGACGCTAAGTCTTGCAAGTCTGGCCGACGCTAGGCCGCTGGGCTGCGCACGCAGAACAGAGCGGACCTCTGGTCGCGAGAAGCGCTCCTCGCGGTTGTGGACCAAGGCCTGCGAAGAGGCAGCGGCAAGGCTCTGGCTCTCACATGCGGTCACGGCTTCAATCGCTTCCCACACCTCGTCGAGGATCCTGGCAATCGGCTTGGCGATGCAGTACATTGTCGTCAGCAAGATCTTGACCACAGGAATAAACCTAAGCCCACAATGCGCTCTTACAACGATCAAAGGCACTTCACAGAAACATTGCAAGCTTGTCAGCCTAAGGGGCCTGCGATGCAGACACGGTCAACTGCGCAGGGCCCGTGAAAACTGCCTGGCAGGCAGCTTGAGCTTCAAAGTATCATGACATCGCAAATCCAAGCAATCCAAGCTGCGGATGGAAGGATCTCGCCGCAAATCAGCACAAAAGTGACCTTGTCAATTTCGAGGTGATTCTGTCCAGCTTTTTTGGTGCCGTGGTGCCAGGCAGACAGCAGCACCGCAAAAACGGGGCTGAGTAGATCGTCCAGGAAAATGGGTAGCGCCTGGCTGTAGAGGGCGACCCGAGCTTCTAAGTCCATTCACGGCGCCTCATTCGCAAGCGCATTGAGAAGAAGCAGGGTCACAAGGAGCAAGTGGTGGTCCTCAAGGAAGGCATTCCCTAGCTTTTCGGTGTGCCGTGTGCTGGGCGGCTGCAATCTGGGAAGCCAGTCTGCTCAGGAGGTGTGGCCCGAATTCGAACAGAGTGCTGTGCTCATATTTTTTGCTCGTCAAAGCGATCAAATCGCACAAGGTCCAAAGAGATGGATCGCGATAGATGACCTATCTTGCTCTGTACAGTCAGGAGGTCACACTCAGTCACGCTCAAACGATGCGCTCTCCGTATTTCTCCACGGCTCTTTCATTCAGCGTAAGTCCGATGCCTGCAGGCACAGATGCTGAGTGAGGCTACATCACTGGCTTCTGCGCACTGCCTGCAGCGGAGCCTAGCTTGATCTTGCCATTGCGTATCGCCGGGGCATCCTCAAGACTTGCAGGGCGAGGCATCTGCCAGCGCGACAGTCACACCCTACTCTACTCGTCCTGATAAAGCTCCGCTTGCAACGGATCTCGCTCAGGATCTGTGAACGCCTTAACATCGGGCTGTCTGCAGTACACTGAGGAAGGGTATTCTGAATACCTCGCTGCCTTGCTGGCTGCTCTGAGACACAGGCCTCAACGATCAGCCCAGCTGGGGTAGAAGCCACCAGCTGCGCATGAATGAAGCAGTCATGGTGCGGCGCAACCTCGCAAAGATCGAAAATGCACAGGCACAAAGACACAGGCACACACTTTGCCACAGCACGGATGACTGCGACGAGCTACCGACAGGACAAGACGATGGAAAAGCAGAGGAGCAGGACATGAGACGACGATGAATTTTTGGTGTGTAAGCATGCCAGACACCACGAATGGCATGCCAACACTAGTGATCCGTTGGGGTAGGGTTCTGCCCCGGTGTGCCACAGTCAAGGAATGGCACACCAAATGATATGAAAGGAGTTGAGTAAAGTGCATCCCCAAGCTGCCCTCGCTGGGACCCAGGGCGGATGCCTGCAGGTACGTCTTCCTGGAGTGCAGAGGGGAACTTCGTTGGACGGAGCCCCTCCGCACTCCCTGTCCCCCCGCACACAGAACGGCTTCAGGAAAGAGCGAAGCAGAGCGGTCCCCAATCCAGGCGTGTACACACACACACACAGAGACACAGAGAGAGAGACAGAGAGACACACGCCCACGCACAGGCACAGGCACACGCCCTCGCACTGATAAAGTGGAGGGTGCACTTTCGGACAGATTTTAGTTGCACCATGGTGAAATTTGATGACGTTGGTAATGATGATACCGAAAGTGCGGGCACCCTGGTGCGTCATCGCACTCATGAAATGAAAGTTTTGCGCCAAGTATGCCAGACCAAAGGAATGGCATACGAAAACAAGGTGAAATGATCTAGTATGGTTTCGGCCCCTTGCTACACCAGACACAGAGGAATGACGTAGCACGAAATGAGATGAAAGGTGAACGAAGGTGCGTGCCCCGCCAGCTGGCCACGACGCCACCCGCTCACTCGCTCGCTTACTCACCCACTTACTCATTCACTCGCTGGCACAACCGCACGAGAAAGACTGGTTGAGATTGCCATCTCGAGGCTGTCCACACCTGTACATGGTTCAACTCGCAGAGGGCCGCAAGCTTGCGCCCCTCTGTGAAGCCGCCGTACATCGTCGCATCGAACTGCAGAATCGAGATGGCCTCTTCGACAGCAGTCTATTTCTTGTCTTCCGCACTCTGTTGCTCCAGCTCCTCTGCTTCGTATATGCATTAGCTGCAGGCAAGACCTTCTCTTCCAGAAGCGCCCTGCAGCCATAGCTCGTGAATTCACCTGGAGGTCCCAAAAATGACTCTTCGTCCGGAGGCTCCGCCATAGCCCGAAACTGCCAACACGTGACAAGGCTCTCTCACCCCCTGAGAGTGGGATGTTTGTCCGGCGCGACAGCAGCCCGAGCAGGCGCCGATCGTCTTCCCAGGCCACCTAAGACTGAGCACTCGCAGAGAGCTCCATGGGCCTCCTTCCATGCTAGAAGTGGCCTCCCTAGAAGCTTCGACATGCACGCATTTGATCGCATTTGATTTCATTTGACCTGGCCGAGAGACAGGTTCCTCAAGCCAGCGCGGCTTGAAGGCCTCCGGGACTTCAGGACTTCGTCAATGCCATGAGTCGCTTGTCTCTGAGAGCCTCCAGCAGCTTCACGCCTTCACAAGCCGTCTTGAAATCCCAGGCGCGGTTGACATCCACCATGAGATCCTTCACTGTCTAGGCTCGCCAGCACTACCGACTGAAATGAAATGGTGCTTCGTTTTCGTCCTTATCGTAGCCAATCACTTCGCGGATGACACGGAGTCTTTCCATGTCTTCACGGAGAGGCAAACCACCAATCTTTACTTTGAAGCCTGTCAACGGCAACATAACGAAGCAAGGGCGAGCAGAGAACTTAATGGCTTCACTCGGCTTCTCACCTCTTCCTTGCTTAAAGGAGTAGCGGTGAAGTCGCGACACCGCCTTGTCACGCCGCTGGCGTGAAGTCACACCACAAGCATAGTTGCAAGTCTCTTTCCCTTCACATCGGAGCACTTTTTGTGCACACATCGAAATTAAGATTTCTGGAGCCATGTGCTCTAAAGCCTTCAAGACTCTGCAAGTTCCGCAACTGACACCACGTGCACACGCTTTCAGACATGTAACGAGAGCAATCACGCAAGTCGAGAATGTCTGTGATTTCAGCGTTGAATTTTGTGCTCAGTGTGCCGCGTGGTATAGTTCTTGTTTCTTCAAGTGGTATTGGTTCTGTTCAAAAGTCGACAAGAATCCCTACACTTTATGTTATATGTTGAGTGTCGCGCTGCTGTGGACATGACGCAGGCGAGAGGTCTGCTCCATGTCTATGAATTTGGTGTTGCTTTTTGTGTTCGTGTTAGACATCAAGAACCCGTACATGTGATGCAATCCTAGACAGCTGCCCCGAAGTTGTTGGCACGCCTGTGTGACCCTGATCCACCATCATCTGAAGGTCGTCGCGAAGCTCGCGTTCATCTTTCCCTTCCCTGCAAGACGGAGCACCGTCATCATGTTTGTATCATTAGGTTCGAGCATGTCTTGCTGTGGATGTACTGTGCTTGGCCTGTAGTACCCGCATGTAGCATAACAGTCAACCTCGTCTTTGAATCCTCCAAATAGCCTCACAGCTTCGCAGCAGAACAAGTACTGCGATGCAAACAGTCCAAGTTTACGCCAGGCTGCCTGTACAACGGAAGCCCAGCTGCCTTCCAGCAATAAAGTGCTTGTTGCTGCCTCGCTGTTTCAATTGCCAGGCCTTCCCAACGATATCCCAGCATGCCAAATCAACTGCAGCGCTTAGGCGAATCATCGCTTCTCGCGACCAGCCTTTCTCACTTGCAACCTGGCCGGTACAGGTCCAGCGAGCAGAGCAAGCAACAGTCTTGCAGTAAAGCTGTGGAGCCTTGTTGGCAGTCAACCGGAAGAGTTTGTGGTACAGGCGCTCAGGTGCCAAGGCATCTTCACCCACAATCAAATCGGCCAAACCATTCTTCCAAGGCTTGACCAGTGGGTCTATTGCCTCGAGACGATGCATCGCGGCTCGCACCAAAACCAGCTTTCACAGAGCCGAGACACTGTGTAGCTGCTTGCCAGACCGAAGCCCTCGAGTCCTTCCTGTGTTCGGAGGCGTACCAGCACCTGTGCATCGGGTAGTGTCCGGCGCTTCTCCGGCTGCAATCCCAAAAGAATACTGCACAATGCACCCCCCCCCCCCTGTTCGCGCAAGACGAGGTCAATAGGATGCACGCTGCTCGGAACATGTGTATAGGGAGATGTAAATCGTCGAAAACAAGAATAGCGTTTTATCCTCAGCAGCAGCGGTGCTGGTTCTGTCTGCCGCAGCTCAAGCTGCTTGGAGGTAGCGTCCGGCAACCAGCCATGCGCACATTTCAGACTTCGTTGCTGTGAACACGCAACATCTTGCGGGAAATCAAGCAGTCAAAGCACCATCAAGACTGGTGGCCCTGCACTGCAGGTCCAAATAACCACGGTCAGGGTAAGCTTCGATCATCGGAGATGGGCGCGTCTGAACATAGCTTCCCACAAAACACTGCAACGAGTCACCTTGTTTACAATTCAATCGCTTCAACAACCCGTGTTAGCGGCTCAAGAATCTTGCAGATTTCAGGCAATGATCCCCCCAGACTGACCACTGGCCAGTATGCTATGGCGACCCTCGCAGCATGGTACTGCTCTCCCTCAATAGAGATTGTCTTTGAAAACTGAACGCCTTTCGTGCAGCCGTGCTCGGCAAGCTGAAACAATATTTGGATCGGTACTTTTTCGGGACAGAACCTGTTTCATCACAGGTCTTGCCCCGCTGTCAACGGGTTCAGGACTCGTGGAGGCCTTGGCCGAAACCTTTCACCTGCAATTTGGTAGGAGGGGAGTAAGAGGCACCGATTTGTGCAGAACAATTCTGCTGGTGGTGATGAATCCAGCTTTCCTTCGCAGACATATGGGAGTATAGGATGTTTACCACAAACGGGAGTGATAACCGTGCATAAATGTAGCTGGTGACGACCCTTTACCCCATGCACATCCGGCCCGGTGGAGCGAGCAAGGGTGGGTTGAAGCGTTGTCAACTAGTCGCCAGAAACCCATAAGAGGACTCAACCAACTGCCTCATTGCCAGGCGGAACTGGGAAGAACGCAGTCCAGTGCGGCCGCGGCAACTTTGGCCCGCGCAATGCAAAGACCTGTACGGTCGAAGTGGACAGGGAAAACGGACCCAAACCCTGCAACCGAGCATCTTCAGCAGGGCAGCCTGCAAACTGGCGATTCGTCCCGCCATGAGCTCGGCAATGTGGGAAGTTTCAAAATTTCGTTGCAGGCCTGACTAGTACTTCTGAGTTGCCAGACTGCAAATGTCTCAGAATTTCTCTATTGCTTCTGCAGGGCTTGCGTAGTCGAAGTGATTGCTTTTCTACAGAACGATCACTGCTTCTCTGCTTCTAACACAAAGGAAACGACATCAGCTCGAGTCCTTCAGCAACGGCAAGATCCGCTTCGCGGCATCCTTTTGCTTCTGGAGTCGCTCCTTCTCCTCGGCAGAGTTGATTGACATTGCGACAGGACCACGACACGTCCACTGCGTGCACTGTCCTTCTCCGTCGTGCAGTCGTCTAGCCGAGCCGCCTGAATCGCAATTCGCACACTGCGATAAGACTAGGCAGTCCGCGTGAGGACTTCTACAGCAGGCAGCCTCAATGATTTGCAACTCTACTGGCCTTGGAGCTGGAAGCCGCATGTCAGGTCGCAGAAGCAAGGGACAGCAACGCTTGAGATAGGCTCTCTGCTCCAAGGAAACCAATCCCATGGTAAGCCCGGCAGCTAAGGCAGCCTGCAGGGAAGGAGGCATGCTGCTCCTGTGAGGGAAATGTTTGGCTGGGGCGCTGGCCGATACAATGCATGCAATTGATGCGCAGACCTCAGGGTCGCCCACACAGAGAGCTCCATGGAGCTCCCTGAGCTGAGGTTCCAGCATGGAAAGCAAAGGATATGCGTTCTCGCTCTGCCTCCCTGCTCTCCTGAAGCTGTTGCTGGAGGCTTTGCAGACATGCATCAACGGTCACTTAGTTGTCGCTCCGACCTGAGCCCCAATCTAAGAGAGTGAGGGGAGGCTTTCCGAAATTTGGACCTGCTGGGTCAAGCCTCGAGGGGGCTCAAGCATCGTGGCACTGTGCGCCAGCGCCCAAAGGAGGGACCTGAAGTGAGCGAGAGAGGTAGAGACTGGAAGTCCAGTTTGTGTCCCTAAGCTTGGGGCAACTGATTGTGGCAGCCTGCTCTGTGCCTCCCCACCTGGACTGATTGTCGCTCGCGAGGAAGCGCGAAGCTCTCAACCACCGTAGACCCAACACCGAGCAAGCAGATGAGTTTTGCATACAGTCCAAACGACATTGTCCTCCGGCTGTGTCAGCCAAATTCTGCGCTCAAGTTTTGCCTCTCACAATGCCGGGAGACTGTCGAGGGAAGCCTTTTTCTGAACTTTTCAAGCCTACCGTCAGGCTTGTCTAACAACTCTGACACTTGAGCAACCCGACATGTCCCGGCCCCAGCCTCATTCCCAAAAGATGATACCATCCATTTCCGGCGAAGTCAGAACTGTTCAAGCAATTTTCGACATGCCGGTCTTGTCCAAAGGGAAAGCCGCTTGGCGGCCTGACATCTTTTCAGCGCCTGTTTGCAACTTGACCCAGTCCCTACTCGCCTCCACGCTTGTGCCGTCGGGCGATGACGAAGACGTGCTTCCGTGTGAGGCTTCTCGTGCACGTTTCAGGTCTCTCTGCTGAGAGCATGGGGGCTCCAGGCTTCCGCTAGGGTGCACGACGCCGCCTTGCATGCACCTACAGGGTCTACTTTAAACACTCTCTAGGTTGGCTCCACATGCACGAGGCTAGTTCTCCACGGTCTTCGCCTGGAGTGACTCTCACCGGCGAGCCCTCGAGTCAAGCTAGAAAACTGACAGTTGGACTATCGCTGATTCTGATCTGCAGTTCAAGCACAGCCATCGAAGCTAGATACAAATGTGGCAGGATTGCCTGAGTGCCCCTGAAACCCTGAAACCTGCACCTCCTAGCTGATACTCAATCTTGAGAAGGCTGGGCCTCGCCAGCCAACCGTTGAGGCAAATTGGCTGGTGCAATTTCCACAAACCTCTGGTTCTTGATTCTTACATCACACTGGATCTGAATCGCCCGAGCATCGATGAAAGGATAGGGGAATCCTGAAAGATTGAAACAAAGCCTGCAAGAGTCAGCGGAATGGTAGAAAAGTTTGTGGATGTCGCATTTAGGGCAGGGGCGGGGCCTCTGACTGGCGAAACATTTATGACAAGAAACATCGGACGAAAGAACAACGAAATGTAGCAACGGAGCCATAGAAATCAGACCCAGAGACACTTAGATATCTGCAGCGACTGTCCAACGTGAGGTTTCGGCGGGCAGTTAGCCAGTCCCGGAGGACATACCCTCCTAAAATAATTTGGATTTCGCATCGGCATGGCCTGCGATTCTGCTGGCGGAGACTCGGCTTGCCTGCAGCACCCCCCACCCGCCCCGGTCTCCCCCCGGCCCCCGCGTCTTTCATTCTTTCCCCATCCCTTTTGTTTTGCCGGCGGCCAGGCCAAGACGGGCTAGCTTACGTCATGTCGCGAGTTCGATGCCAAAAACTCAAAGGTTGTGTCTTGTATTTTGTTGGAAAGCTTGATTCCCTCGTACATTTAGCAACACTTCGAAATCGGTCATAACGTCTATGCGCTATTGCATGCAGAACATGTGCCACCTTTCGCATGGGAATATTGCTCCGAGCCTCAGCATTAACTCAACTACTCACCTAAAAAAACTCTGAGGCAAACGCAGTCATTCACTCACGACCTCGCCTTGAAGTCATGTACCTGCTTCAAGTACTGCCGGGCCGAGGCGGACGACACGAAGCGTTTAAAATTAAACAAACAATTTAGGCAAGCGAACAAACGTTGCAAACAGCTCCGTGGGCTAGGGCGATTGCCCGTGGCCCGCAATTGTAATCACGTGAAAGATTGGAAAGCAGGGAACTGCTGCAGCGCTTGGGACATTAGCAGGGGTGGGCAGGGCATCGAGACACAGGGAAGCAAAGTCTTCGACTTCACCCAATCTTGCAACGCCAAGAAAGACCCCAGCGAATATAGGAAGTTTTGGAACCCGAAGGTCGGGGCATCTACAGGTGTGATGCGTACATATGATTCAATAAAACGTGAATCTGGAATATCATAGCGAAAACACAAGGAGCAAACAGGAACATGCAAAGCATCTCGCATCGTAAATTGCGCAAATGCACCCACTAGCTGGACCCACTCACAACTACAAGATGCCAAGTTGCAGTCGTGGAGCAACTTACGCTTCGAGTTTCGAAGTCCCAGCCACTTAAAATTTGCAGTCAACACGCCAGGACGCGTTTCTCAATGCCTGCTGCAAGTGAGCCAGGACAACCGCTTCCACACAGCCGCAGTTCTGCCACCATCTCTCATCAGAGATGGCTCCTTTTGGGCTCTG